CCCGCCTTACAAAACTACGTGATGCAGTGTGGACATTCAGAGCTGTCTAAGCTGATCAAACGGCACCTACATGTGTAAGGTTAAAGCACATTACACTCACCAGGCTTGCATTTCTTAGAATTCAGCTCATTAGCTACTTACCGGTTCTTTTCTAGTTCATTGTGCGTAGACCTGGAAGATAAACAAAAATTTGGATTAGCCACTTTTGACCTCTCAGCACCAAAGTTCAATCGCAAGTCGTGCACATTCCCAGCGGCATATCGCAGCGTAAAGCCAACCAACCAACCACATACACTAAAATCTATAGCTATAACCTCAGCCTCCCTGCCCACAACAGATTCCTCCCCTCCTAAGTCTGTATTTACCTGCTACTGTGCAAAGCTGGTACTCCTACTGATGCTACAGAAAGTGTTCCCTACAGACTTAAACGCGCACAGAAGCCCAAGGAGAGGCAATGATTAGAACAGGGAACCAGAATCAACCATTTCCAGACTACTTCTGGCTCTGCCACCAACTCAGTACAGGACTGCAGTTATGTTTCTTTGTGCTTTACTTTCTCCATCCACCCTGTAAAAATACTGGTATCACCCGCTAACACAGGAGCTCACGAGTATTCATGGACGCACATCCAACACACGGGAACCTTCCAGCAGAACTGGCTCTGTAAGGGCAAGCCCCGGGGCCCTTCAGCGGTCACACACCAGATTTAGCAAACTTAGTACAACTCCAGACACGGTCAGCGTTCGGGCACGAAACAGGATGGCCAGTACTGCCGTGTTTGCAAACATCAGCGGCGCTGAGCAGCACTTATAGGATGCCTGGAAACCCCTCGGGGACTGAAACGGCACCGCCACGGCACTAGCTTGCAGCGAAGCAAGTGACCCATGAAGTGGCCCTGTGACCACTTGACAAAGGAGGGGGCTTTGTCTTTGTACCTGCCCACCACGCCAAGCACGCTGCCAGCGCTCCCCGATTCAGGGCTCGCAGCTTGGAAATGAGACCGGCTAGAAACAAAAGGGAAACAGGCAAGTTCATTCACCTTGCCTCTGTGATGGCAGCAGGAGTGGCAAAAAAAGCTTAAATCCTTTCGGGATTTCTAATCTAACGATGTTATTAGTAACCCAGGTAAGGTTGCTGAGCATTATTTAAAAAGGATAGCCATTTATCCAATGTTTCTCTTTAACACAAGGTCACCTTAAAATAAGAGTAAAAGAAGCCAAAGAGCTTAATAAAAAGGATCTATTTTCTGTAATTTGGCATCACATTTCTTCCGGAGCTCTGAGAAGATTATCCTCTATCCCCCATCTGGAGAATCCCACAGAGAATTCTACAATTAAGGAACTGAATGGAGGATGTACTCCAAGGGAAACCCTGTCATAATTAAATGCTTCTCCAAAAAAGGGAGGAGGAGTGCCTAACAGGTGTTAGAACTTCACTGAAGATGATGAATAAACCACGGATGTCCGCAATAAAACAAGGTAAATGACTCTAAGCTAGCCATGGCTGAGAGCTGCGGGTGGCCAGAGGAAAAACAAAACGTTACTGTATGTCTGTGCAAGGTACCCTGTGCAGCAGGACACGGGATACCCTAAAGGCGAGGTACACTACAGCTAAACTCCTGGAGGAAAATCCCAAAGCAATTCCTTGCCTCTCAAAAAGAGAGGATCCCTTCAGTCTGGTTCCCAGGAATCAGAGACATGAACATAGTATTTAGTCCAGAAAAACTCCCAAATCAAACCCACGTCCCCCACAGAGCCTCAACCAGAAATATCCATTTGCCCAGGCAACCTGGATGCAGACTAACCCACCAGGGCTGAGTTGGGGCCCTGTAAAACCACCACCCATATGTTCTTTGGAACATGCTTATTGTTCTTATTTACTGCATGTTCCTGCAGGAGACTTTGCACTCTTCTTGGCTATGACATTAGCAGCTATAAAGCCAGAGATATGCAATGGCTTGAATTCCTATATTATATCGAGCCAATTATCAAGGCCAGCACTGAAAGAACAAAGTTTGGCCCACTGCTGTGAACAAAATTAAAACAGCAGGTTCTCCCCACTCCTCTCACACAGGAGACTCTTTATTACCTATCTGCCTTCTGATGAACAAGACAACTAAGAGGGGTCACAGGCTTTTCACCAAGTCAGACAATTTATGCTGTGACTTTTAACCATACCGCTGGCAAGGAAAAAAAAGCAAACCCAAATCCCCCCCCCCAACACTTCCCCACTGAAGCCGAATGCAAAAGAAAGAATCTCAGCAATGCTGAATGAATCCTATGGGGATGTTTCTTCTCTTACCTGCCCATGCTTTGCTTAGTCTTACTAGGGACATTTGGAAAAGTTCTAACTTTTTCTTTCATCTAAACTTAGGAAAAAAATCCCAACACCCCACAACCACCATTCACTAACTCTTATTTTCTATACCAGTCTCCCTTTACTTGGACAACAGATACCAGAAAAACCCCTCTCTCTTCTGTTCATAATTAATTTCATTTTCTGTAGCTCCTGACCTAGAGATTGATTTTCTCCCCTCGTCTTTGGGCTGCACATGTCACTAAGATTTACTGGGAGATAAACAAGGACAGTGCTGTCAGTGAAGTGGAAAAAAGTACAGGAACCTCTACTGATACTACATTCAGAAAAAAAAAATCTTTTAAATAGGTAGAGAAACAAATGTAACTGGACCTCTTTAACCAAGCTGGTCTTATCAGCTGAGAACCTACAGAGTATGACCAGACTGAAATCAAAGCTCCATCCCTGTTCGCTATCACCAGCTTTTTGATGGGTACAGGACGAACACTGCAGCTGTAAACTGCCGCAGCACGGGGGAACCTTTCAGGGTTACTTGTAACACCCCACGTTTACAACAGCGAGGAATCAGTGTGTTCAGTGTGATGTTGCCTTGCTGCTGTTGATGGCCAGTCACAGCCTGTATCACCCAGCGGCACAAGGACACCATGTTGAGCATGGACCACAAGCCAGGGGAGCTCACATCCCCACTGTCAGGTGGACAGGGCAAGCAGGACCTTGACCCTTCCCTGCAAAGCTGAAACCACATCCACGCGGGTACAGACATGTTCAGAGAGGAAAACCAAAGCCCAAGCACACGTATCGGCACTGCTCAAAACCTCAGCTGCAATTTAAAAGTAGCTCAAGCACAAGCAGTCTGCAGGGTTCTCATTTAAAAGCCAGGTTTCTATAGCAGTCAGTTCTTTAACAATAAATTTAAAATATCCAAACTGATATCTGTTCCTAAAAACTGAAGGAATTTTATATAAGGAGAAGGATCCTGCTGACTACATTTCGAAAACAGCTTGGGAAAAGATCAAGAAAGAGTTTTAGAAGCCTAACATAAAGGAGCCAAGCAAACAACACCACAAAGCAGAGCAGTTCCAATCACATTTTTAAACAACAAAAAACTGGAAGAGGAGAAACTGAAGTTTACCCCTCTTTATCCCAGATACCTGAAACTGTGTACAAAATAGGAAGAAACAGAGAGGCAGCAATTGTCAGTCACCCTAATTTAGGGTCAGATACAACAACCTTTTTGCACCAGTTCCCGTGATTCTGCCTGCAACCTTGCTATCCAACACTGTAACAAGATGTTGCTGAAACATTAAGCTACATTGAATTCCCCCAGTGAATGAGACATTGTAAATGATTTATCATTTCACCCCATTTTCTTTATTTAAATGAAATCTCTTCTGCCACGGTAGAGGCAGCCAAACTTCCCCTGAGCACAGGTAAGCCAACAAAACAGACTGCGTCAGGGAGGAACAAGCTCTAAAGAGCACTGAATTCATTTGACACTGGGTTTTTTACTGTAATTAAAATCACAAAGCTGCCACATGACATTAAACACAGCTGACCTTTCTGGTTTGCACATTTAATATTGATAAATAGCCCAACGAATGCATTTGCAGCACATCTGCATTTTGGTTTGACTTCTTAGTGAGGCAACTATCTTCTAGTGGGAAAACATAGAAATCAAGGGTCCTTGTCCTGCACAATGCACAGATGGCATTTAGACCCAATGACCCTGTCATCTCCTTGTACCTGGTCACCCTCCTGTCTGTATTTGGCACCAGCTCCCGGCTCCAGAGGAGCCCAGGACTCCAAGAGCTCCATTGCCATCACAACAGAGATACTGGTGGCTCAGGAGATGCTGCTGGCCACAAGTACTGCCAGGTAAGCAGGTGGAGTGGAATAAAAATCACCTCTTCAAATACATGTCCTTAATGCCAACACAGAGACAGTGTTTCTCCTCCAAATTCACTCACCCCACTCTGCTTTAACAAGAGATTAATCAAGAAATAAATACTCCATCAGCTTGTGCAAACTAAGGCACAGTTACCTGAACCACGTTTAGAACAGCAAGAACGCCCACCCACAGGCCAGGCCAACCATTTCTGTCTTACTTCACTCTGCCCAGTTTCAGCCACCTCTGCTGTTTGCGCACCACCACACCAAACACAGCCTCCTTCATTTTCCAAACCCTCCCCACCTTCCGGCTGTGATGACACCCATTCACTTGGCCAAATTCCCCTGCAGCAAATGCCTTCTTCCATTCCCCAAGCCAAGATCAAGCACCCTTCTGGAACCAGTGAACTATATTACCGCTCTCTCTTTCATGCAAGCTCCTCCTCAGAAATGACTCCTATTAGAAACAGGCAAATGACAAAACAAAACAAATGAAAAGGAAAGGTGATCAACAGCTTTTTTTTTTCAGTTTTAAATCCACCTGTGTCCATAAACCAAAACTTACTGGCTGAAGAACCCCACTGTTTTGCCAGGGTTTCGAGTAGCAGTGGATCAACACCATACGTAGCCTACAAAACCACCTGCACAAGCCATAGCCTAGGAAGCCTATGGAGCAGCTCCACCAGCAGCAGCGGGTGAGACTTCCGGCCCGGTGGTAAGACAAGTGATAGCTGCACAAGAGTCCAATCTTCCTGCCCAAATGGAGATGCTCAAGGGCTGAGTTTCTGAGAAGCTGTGAACCACCCTCACCTCTGAGAGGCCCAAGAGCCTGGCCCTTGGAAGGCTGTGCAGGAGCCTCAGGAGACAGCAGCTTATGGTGCTCCATGCTACCAAGAGCTCCTACAGTGAGGAACAGGAGATGGCATAGCTGGAGCAGAAGTCCTCCTGCTGCCATCCTTACACCCTTT